AGAAACTGACAAACACTAAAAAGTCGTGAAGTCAGTTTCTCATTCGAATTTTCCCGTTCCACCTTAAAACAGTGCCACAGTAAAACTTTGGCATCTCAGGCACCATTTAAGGTGGAACGGGAAAATTCGAGCAAGAAGCTGGTGAATGAGAACTTCAGCCTCATAAAAAATCAAAAAGTTTCCTGCCAGAGATGTGAGAAAAGCAGCTATTGCTGAACTAAAGCTTAAAGCAGAGCAGAGTAAGTCTGTTTTTGTTTATATGATATTTTTTTAGCCTGTATTAGCACATCAGCACATACTGAGACATATTTACCAGCCAAAATGTAAAAATGGACATAATGTTGTGACTCCCAAGGTGGTTTGATTTTTGTTGAAAGGACAAAATGGCTCTTCTTAACATTTGGGTTGCGACCCCTGTGCTAAAAGAACAGAGCTAACAGTGCTATCTTTGATGAATGTCCAGGTATTTTCAGATTAGTGTATGCAAATGGAAACACTCAGTTTTACTAGCTTAGTCCCTGGAATGATGGCGAGAGAATTAGCTTCAAAAAGGTTTAACCTAAGAGATCGGCAGTCTGCCGCACAGAGCGGGTGGAGGGGCGACAGGCTTGACTCACAAGGCCAAACGATAGTGTTCTGGGAACAGAGAGAGGCTGAGCTGCTGGGATTGAGTCATGCTCGAGTCTGATTTATTTCTTATTTCTTTATTTTTCCTCTTTATTTTCCTTCACCTTCTACTACAGTTTACTTCAATGCTTTTTCGTGATTCATCGTTTTTCTCTGCAGCATCGAAAAACCTGTTCTTGTCTGATGAATTCTCTGAATAAATCTGGCAAAGGCATTGTTGAACTGTTTCTTGACTCCAATGAACAAAACTCTTACACCACCACAAACTTAATCCTCTTTGATTACTAATCTTTAGTGGTATTAACTGGACTTAACTGGAATTTCCAATATATTGTTTCAGTAAAGCATCTAAAAGCATCTCTCCTTTCATAAGACTCCTACTATCTTTCCCTCTGATCACACCAGAGCTCACCGCAACAGTCTAGATGTGCAGTTTCAGCTCTGAGCTGTAATATTCCTACCTCTCTTTAGTCCTGTTCACACTGATTGACAATAAATTCCTCTATCATTACTGACATCACTGTTGAAGACTTATTTAGACTATTCAGAAATATTTATTTTACTATCTCTGTAAAATGTATTTGGGTTGGTAGAATTCTGTCTGAATGTGTGTTCTGTGTTGATATAGCACAGACACTGCTTTCTGTACCAACTTTTCAGGCACAAAAATAAGCCCACTTCTACAGGATTTGACCTTCTATTGCTCTGCATCAGTGATACAGTAATTCCTATACACGGAAAAAGATCTTCAGTGTCAGCTTTCAGAAGAGACCAAGATTACGGATGTAGTCTAAAAAGTTCAAGAAAAATAACCACTTTAATAAACTGTCCTTTTCAGGGTTTCTCTTTGTTGGGGATGTTCAGTCAGCATCCTACATACCACAAATATGAAGCGTTCACACTGAACCAGTCATGTATTTTATTGCCCACAGGGTGGCAACCCATGCCATGAGAACACACCCTACACCAATATGGACACAAACCCTACCATCAGCCCAAAACAATTGGTACCATGACTCATCGGACCACGCCATGTTGCCAGTCTTTTAGGGTCCGGTTAGCAACCTCACGAGCCCAGGTGTCTGGTGTCTTGGTGTTAACAGAGGTTCTCTGGTGGGTCTTCTGCTCCTGTATCCCATGGAAGCTAAAGAAGTCTGCACTGACCTGTGGGATATGCGTGTGGGGCCTCCTGCACTGAATGTGGATGTGATAACTTGTCTGTTCAAACGGACAATTCTAGCCAGACGCTGCTGATCATTAAGCACCTGTCACCAGCCACGGCGCTGTCCACTGTGGGTGGTAATGCCTTCTATGATGTATTCCTGGTACATACGTGACACTGTGGATCAGGGAATGTTAAATGCCTGCACAACTTCGGAAATGGAAAGTCCCACTACCGGTATGTTTGTGTTTGTCTTGCTTAAATTGCACTTTGTTGAACTGCTAGTACATATTTTTAATGCACCAAAGGTTTGGAGAACTTTGATTCACCTCCACTGTGTACTGTAACTGTATATAATGAGAGATGACAATAAAATTCAACTGGTCTTAATTTAGACAAATAAGTGTACAGACTAAGAGATTAAACTTCATTACACTGAACGAGAGACAAAATAGGAGTCTTCTTTGCTTCTGAATGATTTATTAAAAGTGAACAGTGATGATTCAAGTAAAGATTCGAACAGAGAACATACAATAATCATGGTGATAATTCTAATCAAGAGAGATACAAATTCTAAAAGTTGATTCTGCATATCAAAGAGTAAACAAAAGAAAACAGTTACACTTCAGTATAGAGGGACATTATGATGCCCTTGTAATGCACTTAATGAGCCAGCAGTTGGTAATGAATTGGCTGCTCATTACTTCATTATGAAGCAGTGACTAGAGGAAGTTTTCCAAAGCACTTATTTTTACGCAATATTTAGTTCTGACACCACAATCTAATTGATTGAATTCACAAATAACACTTTTTTCACTGTATGATTCCACGGAGCGCTGTAATGTCACAAATCGCTGATGTCAGAACAAAACCTTGCATCTCCATTTTTCAGTTTTTGACATAATTTGAAAGTGTCTGTTGTCCTTTACATTGTGTGTAAAGTTCATGATTAATTGACCAAAAGAAACAGCCCAAAACTGTAATGGGTGACCCACTCAGAGGGAAATTCAAACAGAGTGTGTCACCAACACAGGCTCAAAAGAGAACCCTAATCAGAACTAATTAAACAAAGGAATACAGCTAAGGATAGTTAACGTGCTCGTCCGAGGTGGGGCGCAAACTCGCTCACTCTTGGTGGAAGGCACGTTTGCTACCGCTACTCCACCGCAAAGGAGCCTGAAAATGGGTGAAAACTTTGAATTCCCACCTAAATACTACCACGGGAGGGAAAACAAAGGACTGCCAAGGAAGCAGGCCAGCATAACACAAAAACAAACGCCAACTGAAGGTTCCTGAACCAAAAGATTTCTTCAATCTCACACTTAACAAAAGATAGTAAGAATAGAACATTTGCAACTCGAGAAGAGACAGGATAGATCTTGAGAAGCTAGAGAGTCAAAAGAGAGTGAGAGGGGGAAAAACCCTCGTCTCTACCCAGGTTACCGGCCAAGTCATTTGTAAGAACTTCATACAAATACTGAGCAAGGCTGAAACTGAACCTTGCTCTTAAATAGGCCGTCCCACAGGTGTATTGGATCTCTCCTGATTAGGAGCAACCCTGCACCGCCCTCTGGTGGCTGGCGCCAAAAAGGACTCGTAAAAATTCTGGTTCCATTGATTTACATTAAAAGCAAAGTAGGTTTTTTCCTTCTTCTGTAAAGTTAGCAGTTTGGATATATGAGGTTTTGTTCCGTCGACAGTGAAATGCTGATATTAGTATGTTTCTATTGTGATTACAGAAAAATGTATCAAACTAGAATTTGCTGGAAATGAACAGAATAGGCTGTGAAATGCTTTAGAGACTGATTGAACAAGATGACGTTTAGGGAAATACTGACATATTGAAAAAGCAGAGCTGAACCAGAGATTGCTACATTTTTATAGCTCTGTCTGTGACAGCATGGTTAAGTTGGTTTTATATTGGACATTCGCTGGAAATCAGACTTTCTCTCCTCGATTTCTCATGTTCAAAACATCCAAAAATGATCAAACCTACATTTTCTCACTCCTCAAAAGTAAATGTTTGAATATTTTTTTTGTTCATTTCAAGAAAAAGCTGAAAATCCAGGGAATGTCCAATATAAAGCAGCTTTACAGTGCTATCTGTAAGGCAAACGGGTATTACTTTTTTGGCAGAAGGAATTGCTGATTAGGGCACATTTGAAATATATTCAGTCTTCCTTTTTTTCCTTTTCCTTTTTACATTTATTTTGCAGAACTGTTGTTTAAAGTCAACAGAACACTCAAGGTCATATGTTATCATGAATAACTGTAACCATATCACAGCTGAGTCATAACACGCTCCCTCTCCTGATATTATTAGCTATTGCTTAAGTTGTTCTCAATGCCACAACTTAGTGGTCTCAATGTTGTCTTAAGCTTTGGGTTCATTACTCAACTTTTAAAGTCCTAACAGATTATAGAAGACTGGACATCTCACACTATCTGTTTTTTGCAGATTTTTTTGGGCGACTGAAATATTGGAGATCACACACTAAACGATTAGGGATCACACGCTACTCCACGTTTAAGCTGTTGATGAACCGAACAGAACTCACTGAACTCTCGCATTCTCCCGTTACCAGGAGACGCAAATAAACAAACGTGTAGCGACTGCTGCTGTTTTCTCTGCCGTTGGCACTGATACAGTAAAGAAGCAGCCAGTAAACATGTTTAAGTGGATCATGGATTTAAAAATGTGATCAGTTTGGTATTTTTAGAGTTTTAAATGTGCATAAACTCCATTCTGCCTTAAACTCAGCTCATTAAAAAGCTTCACTCCACACGTGAGAGACTTTTCACCATTTTTCTTTGTTTACCTTGCTGCATTTTCTTATTTCGCACTCTCAGTTTTCATTGGCTGTTGGAGAAGTCCATGGAGAGTCGTTGATCAGTTTACATTAGATTTCGCTCAGAGTCGGGTCAAAAAATCAAACATTTGATAAACTCTAACTGGTCTGAAACGCGAATGGGAGGCTGTAAATCTGAGTTTGCGCCCCTCAAACACAACTCGACTCTCTCTCCAACCATCGACTCCGACTGAATCAAAAATCTGCAGACTAGAGCCGATCAGCTCAGACTCAGCCAGACTGAGAATCGGGGCTAAAATCAGGGTAAAAGTTGCGTAGTGTAACCCCAGCTTTAATCTCAGGGTGAAGAGGGCTTATCCTCAATCAGACTTAATATTCATAGTTAATTAGTAGTTATTTGCTTGGTACATTTTGTTACCAGCTATGATAAGGATTTGTAGGGCATAATAATGGTCCCCTTACATGCTGTGCAAAACACTATGATGTATAATATACAAATAGCAGTTTCCTGGAAAATTCACACTAGTTATTGCTTTATAAAGGACCCTGGTGATGCTACAGCCATTCGTGGCCAGGAGTCCAAGACAGCACAATTGGCCACGATCTCTGGGTGGGTAGGATGCCCCCCCCTCACCCCAACACTCAGCGCAATGCTAGTCATCATAGGTGTCTGTTAGCTGATGTAACAGATCTGGTGGTTAGTGTTTTCCTCTGAGCACGTTCAGCTGTCCAGTGATTGGGGAGAAAATTGGGGAAAAATCCAAAAAAATATACATATAATAATAATAATAATGGACTAATGAGCAGCCAACTACTGGCTTGTTAAGGCTAAATAACCGTATTACTGTTCATCTATGATGAAGTGATGCTAAAAACAAAGCTAGGAGCGTACACGTAAACAGTAAAAGGGAGTGACGGCACTTTTGCACTACATCAAACATGATTATCTTTAAAGAAGGAATAATTATGATTACGGAAAGAACCAACAAGTAACTGTAACACACTGTTACTATTGATAATCACAATAACTGACTAGCTCTACCAACAGTATCGTAAAGAGATGTGCATTAGTATATACATCACTCTGCTTGGGTGATTTGGTTGCTGTCGTACTCCCCGCTGAACACTTTAATTTCCCTCAGCTGATTTTTCACACTGTCGTATTCTTTCTGCCACTCCTCCTCTGAGAGGGAGGATGGGTCGATCTCCAGGTAGTGGTAGGCATCCCTGGACTGCGCTCTGAATATCTGAGCACCTTTACCAAAGGAGCCACCAAAACGTCCCCAAATCTGTGAAATTTTAACAACAGATGACGGTCAGACCTCTTTAATAAAATAATAATAACATCCAAACTTCAGTGCATACTGACATCAGTTACCTCCAAGGCTTTTTCTATTATCATCAAAAAACCTTCTTTTAGGTCAGGGTCAACAAAATCTTCAACGGTCTTGTCTTTGATTATGCCCAAGTTCTTGTGCACCTTTTCCCAAAATTTCCCAAGCTTATTAAAAATTTGCTGCATAAGAGACAGATTGTGCTGAACTTTTCCAAGGTGGACTTCATCGGGGATGGAATCTAGAAAAAAAAAACAGATGGAAAGCACACTTAGTTCTCACATCTTCAATGTTTGAGATAAACAGTGATTCAGAGTGGTTTGGTGTGAAATGGTTCAGATCTCTTTACAGTGGTGGTGATAGGAACCAGGGGTCGCCATGACTACAACACAAATATAGACACTTTATTTACTATCCAAAACCACCAGTGAACCTACACGAGTCTTCTGAGTTTATCCCAGGGTTTCAGTCTTGTGATTTTTCTGTTGTGGCTCTGAATTTCTGGCTTCGCTGCTCCACACTAGCATAACTAGAGGTGAAACACGGCTAAACTTACCCTCCTTACTTTGGAAGAGAAAAATGTTCCTCGAGAAAGTAGATAAAACAGTCTGTGATCCTCATACGATTACCCCTGAACCCTGATCCAACTTAAACTGGAGGAAAAGCTACCAAATTAGTGTTTTCCTGACATCTATATTGATCTCATACTCAGCCCCTCTCCCTAATCTGGAGACTCTCAAAGCATTTAAAAGCACAGAAGCTCACCGGCTCTTCACGTCAGGGTGGGTAAAGGATCCCATGGTGTGAGAGGAGAAAAACTCTGTGATCATAAGAGGGTAACGACATCAGCTAATTAACACAGATGTGATCAATTCTGGCCTTTAGATAACTTTAGCTAATGTTAACAGCCGAGAGATAAACAGTCGTCCCCCTAACGGAGCTGCAGACAGCCGGCATAACTTTACTCTCTGTTTCTGATTTAAATGATGTTTGAATGGAGAAACATGAAGGTTAAATATCAGACTGAATGTCGTGGGTCGGAAAGCGACGTCGTGTTTCGACAGACGTGATTCTGTAAGTTTGCTAGTGCAGTTAGTTCAGAGTTCAGCTCCAGTCCTGAAACCCCTGCACTGCATCACTGTGGTTTCCTGGTTAAAATACCTGATATTATTAGCTGATTAATCCCTTCTTGAGCTGAACGAGGTGTGAACAGCAGAGAGAAACACTAAACTATACAGTGCAGCGGCTCCAAGCCTGGAGTGAAAACACTGAATTAAAGGTCTGTGCGTCTCTCGGCTTCTGTTTCGTCTTGCAGGTGAATCATTCACAAAGCACAGCTGATCGAAGGCGTCGTGCAGTGCATCCACTCCCTGATTCGCTCCTTAGAATGGGGGTGACTATACAGTTTGACTTAATTTGAAAAGTGAGAGTATATGTAATGTTGATGATGGGAAAATAGTGGAAAACCTGAAAAAATAAATTTTCTTTTGGGACTATTTTGCTTCAAATCACCCTGCATGTATCCCTCCACCATGAATGGATTGAAATAAATGGATTAAAATATATTTTAAGCCAAAACTTGGTCACAAAACAGTGCTTCAGACATCAGGCAGTGAATTCATAACCATTTCATGTAGTAACTTTCTGTGCAGGAGCTTTTAAAGGTGGATGCCTGGTTCCTATCACCACCACTGTGAACAACTCTGACTGTAAGTTTCTCTAGAACGCAGCATTTCACTCCAAACCACTCTGAATGAACTTTGCTTACATCATAACCGTTTAATTGTGCAGAACCTGTTGAAAAATCAGTGGAACTCTCCTTTTAAGAGCTGTCCTGGCCTGTGAGGGTTCCCTAGTCCAGTAACAGAAGTTGACATATAAGGCATTAAAGATACAGAGCGCTGCAATAAGGGTGGTTTTTCATGGGTTCCGTTTGAAAATGGTTCTATATAGTATCCAAAAGGATTCTTCTATTGTTACGAACTTGAATAGAAGAACTGTTTTGGGTGGTATGTAGAACCCTTTTTAAAAAAGTTCTATATTGAACCATCTACAGCACATTCTCCATTGGTCTAAAGAAGGCCTTCATGATGCAAAGAACCCTTATCATGCAAAGGGTACTTTGACTGCTCATGGTTCCATATAGAACCATTTTCTTTACAAAATAAAATGGGGAATGTTGGATTAACCACTTGATAAACAACTGGTCACTTGTGTCAGTGGGTCATTGGTTCTTGACTTGCAAGTTGTGGACAAGCAAGTTGGCCATTTTTTGAGGTAAAACATGTAGAATGGTCCAAGATTTTTGGACCAGAGCCTCATCAATGGAAAAGTGGCTTGTGAGATGCTGAAAGCACAAAGATCAGCAGATAAAGACACCAACCTTGGTCAATCTTCTGTTTGGCCAGCTTCATTTGCCAATCCGTTATCTGGACCTGTATGTCCCATTGTTTCTGACTCAGAGTGGCCTTTTCAGAAGCGAGGCGGTTCACTTCAGATTGGAGAGTGTTGATTTTCTCAACAGCACCAGGAGAAGTTGCCAAAGCACTGCTGCACTCAATAGTGAACGGCACGGAAGCAGATAGCTGTTCAAAGCGCTTGTGTCCTTGTTTACTGAAGCTTACAAAATGTTTGACAAGATTTTGCAGCTCGAGATTTTTGTCACCAATCGTTTTCTCGGTTTCTGTCAGCTTTTCATTGGTTTCTTCCAGCATCTCTTCAAGGGTCTTTAGCGTTTTCTTTATTTCTTCATTCTCCTGGAGCAGCTGAGCAGACTTTTTTTCCATCTCTGTCTTTTCAGCGTTGATGTCAAGGGTACTTAGGGCCAAGTTTTTGTTGAGTAGATCGTATCTGAACATTAAATGGTAAAATTAAGCACACAAATCATTACAGTCAGCAGTCATCAGGTTGCATGCAAACGTTTGGGTTGAACAACAAAACATGGAATTTGACCAGTGGCACCAAATCTTTGGCAGACTGATTTACATCCTCAGTGAATCTATTATGAGAAGAATGCAGCTTCTGCATATGGCTGTGTCATAAGGATAGGCTGACAGTACATGACTGAGCTGCCCTTGAGCAAGACACCTTACCTCCAGCTCTCTGGGCGCTGATAGGGCTGCCCACCGTCCGAGCAAGTGTGCTCACTGCCCCTTAGTGTGTGTGTTCACTAGTGTGTATGTGGTGTTTCACTGCACGGATAAGTCAAATGCGGAGGTGAAATTTCCCCATTGTCGGACTAATAAGAGTCACTTAATCTTAATCTAACTTCATCTTAAATCACAAAGTTGCCATGCCAACTTTTCAGCCATGCTGACTTTTCAGCCTTGTTAACTTTTCAGCCATGCTAACTTGTGTTACATCTCCGAGCTAACGACAGGCCTGCTATGCCTTAGACAGTGTTGCCAAGCTTACCATCGTCTCCTACTATGAGCTCCACTTATGTGGGGTTTAGAAATTTAAGTTTTTGTTTCTACCCTAATACATCTACATTCCCACCCACATAAATTTCTCATGCACTATGAGAAATAAAGGTTCTGCTTAGGTACATTTTTCGTTCATCAAGGTACAAACAATGTAAATGTTCTCTCAAAGGTACTACAGTGGTTTTAAGGTCTGATTGTGAACCTTAAATAAGTTTCTCCAGGTGAAAAGTTCGTATTTGTACCTTTTCATAACCGAATGATTTAAAACAGAACAGTAAAATAAAAGCCTGGAGTCGAGACGGGGTGTGTGGAGTCAGTACAGCTTAGAACATATCATTTCAGTGGATTATGGTTCAGTTATGTTCCCTGACTAAAGGTACTGAGATGTACCTTTGAGGGTCCCACCCCAGTGATAAGAGGGGAACTGCCCCAGTGACAGTTTACTACCTTTATTTCTGAGATTGTGGTTGTCCCCAAACGTTCTCATTACAGAGTGGTTAAATTCTTGACACAGCTCTACAATCGGAGCAGCAAGAGTCATGCATACCTCATGCCAATCTTTGACATTACCTTTCTATTATCCGGTTCACTTCTTGAATATTTTCCTCGATCCAAGTTCTCGCCTTCTCCAGGTAATTCTTAGCTATCTCTGGTTTATCTTTTTCAACAGCAAGCTTCAGCATTGGAAACAGGGCTGAAACTAAGTTCTGACTGGTGCCCAAACACTGTCATGGTAGGAGGAAAGTGAATTATATGTACATTACATTTTAAAATACAACATTTTTCCGTGTGTGTTAGTGGGTGGGGGTGGAGGGGGTATCGCCCGTCCCAATTTTTCAAAATTACATTTTTGTCCCACCTGCTCTAGTGTTGTTGAGTTTGTGGGGAAATTTGAAAACTTTGCAAATCTGCTCTCACCGCCCTTCTATCTGAAATACAACCACACAACTGGTTTTAACATTAGCTACTGACTCTGTTTCCCTTGTGGCCCACAAGGTTATGAAGCCGTTTGACTGTAGTTAGATTCCTAATATCCATGGTCAAATTTGCTGTTGATGCTGGGATTGAGACCCGTGCTCCTCTGACCCACACACATTAACACCCTCAATCACATCCACACCCATACGTTTTAGAAACCAAAGCGTTGACTCACTATTCTTACTCTATATGAACAAAAATTGATTTAAATGCATTTCTGATAGTTAACTACTCAGATTTGATCATACCTTCAGTAGGACAGCCTCGGAGGATACAAAGAGAAGTTGGGTTTCCAGCACTCTCATCCTGAGCAGCCGCTCACAGTTAGAGAATTTACCCAAACACAGGTAGGAGAGGTGGTACAGCAGTGAGACCTTCTGAGAACATGGGAGGAGCTCCTCAGTGAACACTGGGTTCCATTCTTCATTGGTCGACACAAGTTCTGAGATTTCCACAAACAACAACAAAAAAGAAAGCGTGTTAATGAAATGATAGAAAGAGTGGTCAGCAGTGAAACAGCAGCACTAAACGAATGTTGCATTTGAAGGACCATAGGTACAGTTGTATGCAAAAGTTTTGGCACCCCAGATTAAATTTTGTTGATTTGAAAATAGCAAAAACTAAACAAAAAAAAAATCAAAAAGTAAAAACGTTTGCTCTCGTGGATGATGTTATTTTCAGAAAATGGGCAAAAACATGTAATTTCACTGGTGTTTCTAACTTTTGCATATGACTTTATGTAAATTAGCCCTCCAGAATAAAAAATATTGCTGCTGTTGGAACAAAACTTTGTATCTCCATTTTTATTGTTTGTCAGTTTTTGACATAATTTGAAAATGCGTGTTACCCTTTATAATGTTTGTAAATTTTATGATGAATGGACCAAAAGAAATGACCCAAAATGACCTTGAAAAAAGGTCTGGTTCCACTGACTTACATTAAAAGTAAAGGATTTTCCTTCTCCTGTAAAGAAGTGATTTCGGAGATACAAGGTTTTGTTCCAACAGGTGTGTTTTATTACCATCCTCCAAAAAAAATCAGCACATTTTAGTAAATCATTATTTGAAATGTAGTCTCGTAGGCTTGGTTTCGACAGACGTGAGATGCACGTCTACTGCAGCTGCTGTGACTGATACCAAATGGAAACTGAACCAAAATGGAAGCTTATCTGTTCCATAAGACAGACGACTAAAAACACTTTAAATGTTATTGTTTTTAAGGGTTATTTTGAGAACGAGTTCAGAAATATCAATGAGTATTTTGCTGTTGTTGGAACAAAACCTCATATCTCCATTTTTGTCATTTTACATTGTTTGACATAATTTGAAATCGCAAGCTGCTCTTTACGTTGTGCCAAAATTTCATCATCAATGGACCAATAGAAATGCTCCAAAATTACTTGGACCAAATAAGTTCTACACTGACTTCCATTAAAAGTTAAGCATGTTTTTCCTCATGTACAGTTACCTTTTTGGAGATATGACAGCAACGATTTGGTACCTTTTTATTTATTTTCACACTTCTAATAAGTACTTATGAAAGTTCTTAGTTCGTCTGGCATCTTTCAGTATAGGAACTACAGCTTTATTAAGCAGAACAGAAGCTGAACCCTCCTAATAGAATGAAATTAAACCCAAGAAAGAGAATGTTTACAAGTGGAACTGAGCTTCAAATAAATTCCTTTTCACTAAAACTTGAACAGAAGAAAAATGTAGAAAGTATGAATTGCTGTAGTTTTACTTGCCTTTGCTCTGAGCCATTGTAGTTCTGTAGGAGTTCTGTCCTGAAAATCAGAAGACATTTCACAGACAAGAGTTTTTGGAAATGTTTAACTGTTACCTATGAGAGAAAAGTGATCAGATAAAGTAAAAACTGAGAGAAACTTACTTGCAGAGCTTGGTGCTTCTTCGTGATGTGAGGCACTGTGTGCTCACTGCCGAGATTTTATACCATGAACCTCCACTTCACTGGAAAAGACGTGCAGCATCGGACCAACTACAACACTTCCCTCTACCAGCTCAAACAGCTTAGTGGAGTTACTTGGAAAAGCTCAATCTGAAATAACAAGTTACCAATAACATATTGTTTATGACGCTTGAAATAAACAGAATCCTATTCAGTTTGTAGTCTGTTGAGTTCCTAGTCAGCTTTGTCACTGTGTTCCATCAGCAGGTCTACAAAGCCACAAACGATGAAGCCTTAGCAGAGAAATAAAGCAGGTTTAATGCTATAAAAGACCCCCCTTTCCCACCGCTAACCCTCTAAGGAACATGTTTAAAAGGAATTATCCATGGAATATATTCAGAATTTATGGGATACTGATCGAGTATCGAAATGTGTGCCAAAAAATAAATGAAAGGAACTTGTTTTGAGGTAAATCCAGGAAAAGACAAGGAGGTCCTAGAGTTCCATAAGCTGGCATAGAAGCTTGGCACCACAGATCTCCTGTTAGCTCTAATAGGCCTTTTTATTTTATACTTGTCGCTGGTAAACCCCACTGTTAAAAGTCGTCTTTCACTGATTTGGCCAGTCAATAAATATTGAGATTTTTTAGCCCTGAAAAACATAATTGTGACCACTTAGCAGTGTTATGCTGCAAATTAAAGGAGATATTTTTGAGACACTCTGCCTCAGTGACACTGTATTTAGTACCAAGGAAAAGTTTGGACACACCCCTTCAAAGAACATGTAAATAATAAAATAAAAACTGATGTCCATCTGCACTAACAAGCTGGGGAGAACATTGGTAGCCCTGCACCGCATCACCACCGTTGATAAACGGAGGTCCGTTGTCTTCCCCTTAGGCAGCAAAAGGTTCTATGCAGAACCATCTACAGCACATTCTCCAGCAATCTGAAGAAACTTTCTCGATGCAAAAACAAAAAAAACAGTTCTTTGTAAATGCAGAACAAGCATGTTAGACACACTTAAAAGTGTGTGTGTGTGTGTGTGTGTGTGTGTTTGTGTGTGTGTGGAAACCACAGAAGTTGTGCCCTTAAGCTGTGGGACACGGGGTTCGTTGAGGAGCTCGTCCCATGTTCTCAGCAGGTCTCCAAGCTGTACCACCTCTCCTACCTGTGTCTGGCGAAGTTCCCGAAGTTGGAGAGGCTGCTCCGGATGCGAGCAGTGGAGACCCAACTTCTCTTTGTATCCTCTGAGGCTGTCATGCTGAAGGTATCGTACACTTTTCCACATTCATCTGCCATTTAGAGCCTGATTTTTCTCATCAGAAACCCCTTTGCAACTGGTTTCCGCTCATCAGAAACCTGTTTTTGCCCATCACAAACCCACTTAAAACTGCTCATCGGAAACCACTTTGTAACTGGTTTTTGCTCACTGAAAACCCATTTTTGCCCATCAGAACACTCTATAACAGGTTTCTGCTCATTAGAAACCCTTCATAACTGGTTTTCACTCATCAGAAACCCATTTTTGCCCATCACAAACCCCTTTATAACTGGTTTCTGCTTACCGGAAACCTGCATTTGCATATCAAAACCCCTTATAACTGGTGACTCCTCATCTGAAACCCTTTATAACTGGTTTCTGCTCATAAGAAACCCTTTATAACTGGTTTTCACTCATCAGAAACCCATTTTTGCCCATCACAAACCTTTTTACAACTGGTTTCCACTCATCAGAAACCCCCTTGTAACTGGTTTTTGCTCACTGGAAACCCAATTTGCCCATTAGAACCCCTTATAACTGGTGACTGCTCATCAGAAACCCTTTATAACTGGCTTATAACCTGTTTTTACCCATCAGAACCCTTTATAATTGGTTTCTACTCATCAGAAACCCTTTATAATGGTTTGTGCTTGTCAGAAACCTGTTATAACTGGTTTATAACCCATTTTTGCCCCTCAGAACCACTTATAACTGTTTTTTGCGCATCAGAAACCCATTTTCTCCCATCACAAACCCCTTTATAACTGGTTTCCCGCTCATTGGACGCCCGATTTTACCCATTAGAAACCCTTTGTAACTGGTTTTTGCTCATTGGAAACCCGTTTTTGCCCATCAGAACACTCTATAACAGGTTTCTGCTCATTAGAAACCCTTCATAACTAGTTTTCACTCATCAGAAACCCATTTTTGCCCATCACAAACCCCTTTATAACTGGTTTCTGCTTACTGGAAACCTGCATTTGCATATCAAAACTCCTTAAAACTGGTGACTCCTCATCTGAAACCCTTTATAACTGGTTTCTGCTCATAAGAAACCCTTTATAACTGTTTTTCACTCATCAGAAACCCATTTTTGCCCATCACAAACCTTTTTACAACTGGTTTCCACTCATCAGAAACCCCCTTGTTACTGGTTTTTGCTCACTGGAAACCCAATTTGCCCATTAGAACCCCTTATAACTGGTGACTGCTCATCAGAAACCCTTTATAACTGGCTTATAACCCGTTTTTACCCATCAGAACCCTTTATAACTGGTTTCTACTCATCAGAAACCCTTTATAATGGTTTCTGCTTGTCAGAAACCTGTTATAACTGGTTTATAACCCATTTTTGCCCCTCAGAACCACTTATAACTGTTTTTTGCGCATCAGAAACCCATTTTTGCCCATCACAAACCCCTTTATAACTGGTTTCCCGCTCATTGGACGCCCGATTTTACCCATTAGAAACCCTTTGTAACTGGTTTTTGCTCATTGGAAACCCGTTTTTGCCCATCACAACCCGTTTTATAACTGGTTTCTGCTCATCAGAAACCCTTTATAACTGGTTTCCGCTCATCAGAAACTCATTTTTACCCCGCAGAATCCCTTATAACTGGTTTCTGCTCATTTTGAATCCGACACCCTCTCAACTACATCAGTTCACACACATAAGAAATCTACTAAAAATCTGCCATGACATTAAAAAATGAGAGAACCCAGAACAATAATGTAAAAATGATTGAAATGTAAATCTTTTATGGTGATTATATAAAATAGTTACATATTTATAAAAGTCAAACTGGATACATAAAAGAGAAATGGAAAAAATAATGACCAAACAGATTAAATTAAATGCTAAATCCAATTAACTGGATGAAAGGGTTTCAGATGCACTTTGATTTTTTTTTAATATAGCTCTGGATTGACAGTTTAGGGAAAAGTTACTTTATATATCATTTATTATTTATATTATATATAACATTTATTCACCACAAATTTGCACCACTGCTGAACACTTGGCCAAGAAAAATGATTTCTACTAAAGCTTTGATCTGAGCTGCTCAGAATCAAGCAAATGCCTCGAAACTCACTGGACAATTCATCCCTGTGTAACAAGACAATGACCTGAAACATACCATGAAACAGTGCATTTCACTGTTATTATGATTTATTGCGATTATGATTTGTGCAAAGATTTTATTAGAATGTAATTTAGGACACTGTGATAAGAGAGCTACAAAAGATGTACACAATTTAAAAAGATGGTTCTTCAAGGGTTCTATGGTAAAGACAATGGTTCTCTATAGAACTATGAGCCCTCAAGAAGACATTGCATGATTCTTTGCATCATTAAATGGTTCTTCAGATTGAAGAAGAACGTGTTTTTTGTGGTTCTGTATAAAACCTTTTTGAAAACGGTTCTATTAAGCACCAAAAATGGTTCTTCTGTTGTAACAAGCCTGACACTGTAACAATAGAAGAGCTCTTTTTGGTGCTATATAGAACCTTTGGTAACACTTTCTATGAATGTCACCTTTGTAAGCACCTATAAACACATTCATAACCTGTTATAATGCATTCATAAGGCATTATAAACATGGCTATAAATATTTATAAAAATGCATTACATGTTATAGCCATGCTTATTATGCATTATGAATTGTTAACATAATACATTATAAGTACTGATCTTAACAATTTATAAGAGCTCATAAGTCGTATTTGTCCGCTCTAAGTAAAGTGAAGCGTACTGTACTAAAGCCTCCTCCAGTGTTCAGAGTGAGGCTTCAAGTTGAAGTATTTACTGAAGGATTTACTGAAACACTAAAACATTCACAGTAAAGCACATTACAGGCTTCAAATGTCAGAGTTTAAACTAGAGCTGCCATCAGTGTTTTACCCAATGTGGGAAAGGTAATGTTCACCACCGTTAGCTTGGTATTTGTCTTTACTTTACGCTCTCCAAGCTGGGACTGACTTCTTTGGCACTGACAGTATAACATGTTATTAACACTATTTATAATGCATTATATTAACAATTCATAATGTATAATAAACATGGCTATAAAGTGTAATTCATTTTTATAAATGTTTATAATCATGTTTATAATGCCATATGAATGCATTATAACATGTTATAAATGTGTTTATATATGCTTACAAATATGACATTCATAGAAAGTGTTACCGAACCTTTTTCAAAAAGGTTCTGTGTAGAACCATCTACAGCAAATTTTCCACCAATCTGAAGAACCTTTCTTAATGCAAAGAACCCTTTAATCATGGAAAGGGTTCTCTGAACGTTCATGGTTCTACCATTTTCTTTACTAAGTATCCCTTGAAGAACCATCATTTTTAAGAGTATATATAGAACTATTTCATGCTTAAAGTATTCTTTATATGGTAAAATGGTTCTTTAGATTGATGCAGAATGAGTTGTATCTTCTGTAAAGAACCTTTTTAAGGTTGTTACTTGTTGCTACAAGCTTGGAATCACACCAAGAGAACAACCCTTTTGGCTGCCTTTTCTATACAGAACCATCTACAGCACATTTTCCATCAATCTGTAGAAGTTTTCTTGATGCAAAAAACCCTTTAATCATAGAAACGTTTTCTGAATGTTCATGGTTCTCCATAGAACTATTTTCTTTACTAAGGAACCCTTGAAGAACGATCAATTTAAGTGTGTATTATATTTGTTTCCTGTAAGACAAAAAGAGCAGCAATTTCTTACTTTGTCAATATCATATGTCAAAATATAAGAGTCATTTGCCCT